TATGAAAACGAAACTATTTGAAGCTTTATATAAAAAAAATACTATTTGAAGCAGTGTTCACTGTTTACAAATCAAACAGAGCTCGTTGTAGTGACGCATGTGTTGTCTTTTAGAGAATTTTTCTAATTTCGAAAAATAAGTTCTATATCTAATTATGTGGAAGAGATCATACGCATTTATAGTTTTTTTTTTAAATAAACAAATTAATGTAGTGTATTAATTAATAATAGACCAAGTTTCATCAATTGAAAGTTGTTCTCATCAAAAACTTTTGCACTACCATTTAAAGATAGAATCACCACTAAGGACACTTCATGTGTTCTCAATATTTTGATAATTGACACAACACATGTGTGCAAAAAATAAAAATAAAAAAATTACAATTTGACTGCTATTATGTATCTACGTATAATAAACCATTTGATAAAGCTTTCTTAAGTTATAACTGAACATAACACTCGATCAATCGCGATACATTGTTCAATATCAAGGTTTATAAACCTTAATTTCAAAAGTAATTGATAATGGCTTTCTCAATCAAGTATCTAACTATAGAATCCAATTGAGAATCCAAGATCTAAACCGGTTTTCCTGGTTCAACTAACTAAATACATTGTTTGTTCTGGTCATCGGTTTAAGTGACAAAGACTAATACACCGGTTTTGTCTCATTTTTTGTGAGCTTCCAAATCAGACAATAGCTTAGCCGGTTTAGCCTTTTTCTGCCGGTACTTGGCGTATGAGTACCACACACCACCAGCAGTGTTGACCACTAAACCGGACACGTTCAAAGCATGTACTTCAACACCACCCAAGAGAACAAAACCGAGCGTCTAGGAGATCAAAAAGGAACCAAGGATAAGTAAGACCGAGTAAAATTGATTGCCTATAAAGACTTGAAAATCAAGAGAGACTTTGATCTCAAAACCGAGCGAAATGAGAGTGTATACTTACAGTGGAACCAACGCCTTTGAGGACACCAACGATGGTTGTTGTTAGTGCAGAGTTCACAATGGTGCAAAGAAACATGGTGAAGTTGAGGACAATGCCCATAACCAGTGAAAGAATGAGAATCACCAAGAAGGGCAAATAAGAACACTGTCAAGAGTAAATAAACAGTTTGAATGACATTTTAAGAGAATAGTTTCTGAGAAAAAGCCGCATGCTTGGAAATGATGTAAGTTTCTGAGAAAAAGCCGCATGCTTGGAAATGATGTAAGTTTCTGACCTTTGCAAGTAATAGCGATAGAGAGTTTGGGAATTCTCCGGTAACTATGATGAGGAAGGACAAAAATGGGAGGGAAAGGAAGCTGTTATAGAACATTATCTCGATCGAGGAAAGCCCATCTTCTGCACCAGACTTCTCAACCAGCACAAGGTACATGGTCTGCAAGCGACGAGGAGGAAATAATATTTGTTTATTTCATATGGTTAATGAGGCATTGATGCAAGAGAAGGACAAGAACCATGAAACCAACCTGGAAAAAGACAGACGTCAAAGCCAAACCATACCCGAAAATATCAAAAGAAAAATCTCCAAGAGCTGCAATTACACAACCTGCAGCCGTCAGTAGCACAGATAGAGCAACCTGAAAATTTGAACAAGAGATTCAGAGCTTGAAACATTATAAAAGCTTACATATAAATAGATCAACTTTAATACAAAAACATTATACAAATGGTATATACCTGAGTTGTTGGTCTGCCTTTCCCAAAAAAATATCCGGCAATCAAAACAGCGAGCGGAGTGAGTCTCTTTATGGCGATATACATTGGAATATTTACTCCTTTCAAGCTTGCAAGAGCAAACGCAACATTAGCATTGTAGAAGATCGAAACTGGGAGAAGCTTTTTCGCGGTGGCCAAATCGATTCCTTTGGCTCTTGTGTATCCCATTTGTCTACCAAAGTGTATAAGCAACGAAGTAGCCAATTGCTAACACAACCAAAAGAAAACCAAACAGGACCACCAATCCATTATTAAACATTTCGAGGAAGTACGTAATCAAAAAGCATTAGAGTAATCAAAATATCAAATACCGCAGAATAAAAAACGTAGGTTTCATAGTTGGAGCTCAGTTACCTGAAGAGTAAGAACAGTCATTGAATGTGGATATTGCATAATCACAGCTTTGTTGATAAAAACCATTGCCATTGAAGCAATACCATATGAAACAGCTGAGACTAAACTGCAACATAGAACAAAGATAAGCCCCATGGAATTAAGGTTGCTTAAATGTTAACCAAACGCTGTCTATCTTAATTTGATTCTCTGTAAATCTCGAAGATCCAGATCTACCCAGATGAAGAATTGCAATCAAAGTTTCCAAATTTCACAACTTTAAGAAGCACTCAAATCCATTAAACCAATTATCACTGTCCCTACTTCACAAAATCGATCAAATTCAATCCTAGAAACTTCGATAATCGAATTGAAAGAAAGGAGAGTACCTAATGGACGAGCTAGGCTCCATTTCAGCTTGAACCTCCATGGAAACAAGAGCGATTTCCCAGATATAAGTCGATGGAAAATTAAGTATTGGTATGCACAGAAATCAAAGAACACTGGAAAATGAAGGAAAATCACGAAAATGTTTCCTCAGGAAACACGTTTCTTGGCGGTTTCAACGTGATCCAGACGCATTTCGAGAAGAAATTTGCGATTAAATTACTTGTTTATCAGCTTTTTTTCATTTCATGTTCTCTCTTTTTGTTCCTTGGATTGAGGATCTTAAGCAAAGGTTGGAACTTCCGGTGGATTGGAAACTGGACAAGATCTCAGAAGTCAGTAAGTCAACACTCAAAAGTCAGTAACCTTCTGTTTAAGCAAGAAGGTCTTTAAACAAAGTTGGGCTCAAAAGGCCCAAATTGAGTTTCTGGTCTAAATTAAAACTAACTAAAATTGAGTTCCATGGTTTAACCAAAAATCTTTCACTTTCAGACACAAAATAATTTTTATTTTCTACCAAGTTTTATTTGTTTATTATCGCAAATAATTGTTATCTTATTTAGAGGAAAATTGCATGCAATATCT